AGAGGGAGGCTTGAGGGATAAGCCTGGAAAGAACAGAGATCACTATCATTCATGCTACTGCCTCAGTGGTCTCTCAGTTAGCCAGTACAGTGCCATGACTGATGCGGATTCGTGCCCATTACCTCAGCATGTGCTTGGACCGTACTCTAATTTGCTGGAGCCAATCCATCCACTCTACAATGTTGTCCTGGATAAATACCATACAGCCTATGAGTTCTTTTCAAAAGAGTAATCTAATGTTTAACCTAAGAACAATTGGCTAGGGCTGTGTGGGATTGTATTATTTGCACGGATAACGGAAACTTTTGATTTACATACCTTAGTCGTGTTATACCAGGGTATTTGTATGTTTGGTCAGGTGCATTGCCTGGATAAATCTCTCTTGGTTGTGATGGTCGCTTCTCGAATTATGTTACTGGTGTTTATTATTAATTAAAAATGTAACAAAAGTGCAGCGTTAGATGCAGCATAGTGATCAGTGGATGCTAGAACCAAGTGTTTGTATGTATTAGTGTTATGATGGTACTAAATTGGTTAGTTAAATGCGTGATTAGATGGTACCTGAACCAGCTGGGCGTTGCTTGTAGGCAGGTGATAAGCCAAGCAAAACCTTTGCTAGAGCCATAGTGGATGCGACCAGAGCATGCTGCCTCCTACCCTCGTCGACGGTGTGCAGTGCAGCTCGGTTCCTAGCAAAAGGTTCTTTTCCACATTGGACATTGGTTGAAGTTCTCGGGGACACGGCTACCAACCTGACGTTTTACGAACCCATCTATGATTGTGCATGTTGTGTGGCTTATGCAAATTGAACATTTCATCAGAAGACAAGTATGCTTTAATAGCTTAATTTTTTATTTTTTCAGACGGCAAATGGTCAAAGAACTCACGCAATGATGCATGCACGCGGGTATCTAGCTTTTTTAATTTATTTATTAGTTCAGAATATTTTTTGGAAATAGTTTTGTTTGTTTCTTTGATTATAATTTCTCTCTCCATCTGCCTCTGGTACATCCATTAGCTCGTACTCTGTACTTGTCAATAACTATCATCAATCAATGTCTCGATTATTGTCGTCTCTCTATTTTTTTCCCACCTCTATCTCGTGGCCGTGCAATTTTCTACCGAGACTGGCCTGTTTGGCTGGTGACAAACTTATCGTGCCTAACTTTTGGCAAACTATGGCTGTCAAAGAAAGTGTGGCGACCAAAATTAAAACTACAATTGTGACATGGTACGAAAATTAGTCTATAACATGTGGGGCAGAGTACTAAGAAAGTGTGACGTGCCATATGTGTAATAGTGAACCAAACAGCTATCGAAGAAACTGTGACATGACGAACCTTTGGCGTGGCAGGTTTGGTCACCAACCAAACAGACCCTTTATCAATGTGGCTAAATTTTCTCTCGGTGAACTTCATTTCTCAGTAAAACTACTATCAAGTCTCTTAAAATTGTTAAGTTTCTTGGCTCTCTTATAAATTCAAAATTTTCTGATCATCTTTTATCTTCTCTTGTAAACTCATAGTTGTCTTTTTCTACCTTATAAACCATCACCGAATTGTCTAATCCCGCTTGTATTCACCTCTACCTCAATTAGCCACTAGCTAGCCGTGTCATCAGAGCAACATCGACGTGCATCTTAAACCTTTTTAGCCATACTATGGACCCACCACTATAATGCCAATGAGTTGCTGATCTCAAATATGCTACTTATGCCACTCTACCTTGGTACCTGCCATGTTGTGGTCTACTTGTGAGTTGTGACCAACTTCTCAGAAAAAAAAAAAAAAAAACTGTACCACTTGTCAATGTCTCAACATAAGCATGGGAGAATCACTACCCTGAGTTGTTCTCTTTTGCAAAATCTAAAACAATCACTCTAGCAATTGGATAGTATTGCCCAGATTTGCTATCCCTTTTTCACCTTCCGTTATCAAATCTAGCTTATGCACAACTAGCTCAGCTTAGCTCAGATATCCAAATTTTGACCCTAACCGAAGAACCAGACGTTTGGACCTGCATATGGCAATCAGGTAGCTACTCAGTCTCTAAAGCTTACAGGCACCTCAGTGGTCATGTTGCTTTTAAGAGAATTTGGAAGAGCTCTTGTCTGAGCAAACACAAGGTCCTCGGTTGGCTGATGCTAAAAGACAGATTAAGCATCAGGGAGCTTTTAAGAAGGAAAAATATGGAGCTTCAAGACTACAATTACGTCTTATGCAATGGGCTGATAGAGGAATCTCTGTGTCATCTTTTCATTCACTGTCCTTTTGCAACTTCCTGCTGGAATTGGTTGCAGGTTCAAACAGATCAGTAGATGGATTTTATTCGGAATATAGAGTTGTTCAGAAGGAAGCTCCAAGTGCCTTTCTTCACTGAGATCATAATAATCATGTGTTGGATAATTTGGAAGGCAGGAAATGGACTGATTTTCAACCAAATCCAACCTTCAATTCAAGCATCCAAGAGAGATTCAAAGACGAGTTCACGCTGCTAATTTTGCGCGCCAAAAAGAAATTATTCCTCTCAATAGAATTATGGTTAAACAATCTAGTCTAATTTCTCTAGCTTGGTTGATCTTTTTTGTTTTATGTTATTTATATGAGCATAAATGATCGAATTATAATCTAAAACGCATTGTGTCTTGTGAGTTACCCCCTCGGCCCCAAAAAGAAAAGTGATGTTCTGTAATTTAAAATTTGTCCCAGAAAAAATAATGTTACGAGTTTTAGACATGTTGTTGGTCCATAGATCTGGCGCCAAATTACCAATGGAGATGTGCTACTTCTGGTTGCCTGCCTCAGATATGTGCATGCTTTCATGCAGCACGTCTTAATTAGGAAGTAAACCACACGATATCCCTTCTTTTAAGGGAATCATATGTCGGTGCAAAAAGTGACCAACAAGTAAATATTTATAGTTTTGCCGTGCGTTGTGATCGGACGTGGCCTAGCACTCAATGACACAGAATTTATACTGGTTCAGGCAACGTGCCCTACGTCCAGTTTCAGTCGGTCGATGACTTTATTCCTGAGCCCAGGTGCTCGAAATTTGTTGTGGGGTTACAAACGAGTAGGATTGAGAAGGAGGGTGTAAGAGGTCTGGTCGGACTCCGATCCGAGTGGCCGAGAGTGACGGATGCTCTAACGTGCGCTAAGTATTAAAGCGTATGCTCTGTGTAGCTGTCGAGTTCTAGAGCTATTGAGATGTTCGAGTCCTCAGGTCGTCGAGTCCTCGAGTTGTCTAGCTCTTTCTTTTCTTTTTCGAGAGAGCTTCTAGGAGAGAGCTCGTCCCCTTTTATAGTTTGAAGGGGGTGGCCTTACAAGTCAGAGAAAGAGAGAGTGTGTATACGTGTGCTACCTAGTCTTGTTGCCCACGCTATCGGGTACGAGACGGTTATCGGCGCCCACAATACTGTTTATGTTCAGACGCATCTGGCAGGCTCTACCGTGTTCGCCTAGTACTACAAACGTCGGCGCCTATAATACTATTTGTGTTCTGACGCGTCTAGAAGGTTGTATAGTGCCTGTCTAGCATGGCCTGGCGGCACCGTCCTACAGGTGCGCAGGGCATGGTAAGGTACGGTCATCGGTATTACGGTTGACTTGAGCGCCTTACCTTATCTGCTCTGCCTGATCCCTAGGCCCTCACCGAGCAGGCGTCCCTGGTCAGTCGTTCCCAGTCGGTCCCGACCGTGTCGGTCGGAAAAGAGCAGCGAGCAGAGGTCTGGCGTATCCTCGATCGAAGAAGGAGGTCGGAGCCGGACTACAGTCCCACCTTGGCTAGGCCTTTCGGTCGAGGACTGAATCGTTGTCTCGGCCTGTCATTATGTACCCGGGCCGGCCCAGGCGCGCGTTGTCGTTGCGCCGCCTGCTGGGCCGGGTTTTATAGGGAAGCGGGTCCATTGGGGACCCCGGGTTTATGAACCCGACACATATGTGGCATACTAAAGGTATTAAGGACATTTCTCTTCTACACTAATCTGTCTGAAAAATCTCAGAACATCACTTTTTTTGGGGATGAAGGGGATATTGTGTATTGTCCTAGTGAACTCTATGTAAGTGAGATTGACATATTTGTGTGTCGTTTAACTATGAATTTATTACTTCTTATCATTGTGATTTCATTGTTTGATCTCATGAATATACCTGACGGATATCCGATACCCGTCGGGCGCGGGATCGGATACGAAATCTTACCCACGGGCATGCTCGCGGGCGAATAAAAGTTAGGGTTGTGGGTATGCTCGTGGATAGGTAAATGCTTTACCCGCATTTTACCCGTCCCGATACCAGAGGTCCAAACAAACAACTTATGCTATTTTCTATGGGAGCGTCAATTATTTAGGATTAAGTCCACTTTTGGCCCCTCAACTATTGGGTTCGTCTAATTTTGACCATCAACTACAAAACCGTCCAATGTTGATACCCCAATTGTCAAAACCGTTCACTTTTAGCACCTGGACGCGGCTAGGGCTGTTTTGTCCAACGTGGAGTGGGTTTGACCACGCCACGCAGGCATTGACCGCCACATAGGACGTTGGCCTCCATCTAGTGACATGTGGGGCACACACGTCAACCACCCATCCCCTCCCTCTCCATCCTCACGTTAACTGCTGCAGTTGCTAGAGCTGTGCCTTGCCGAAGAAATCTCGACGCCAACCCTTGCCTACTATAGCTACCGGAGCTACACCCTACGTGGCCTCCGCGCCCGTAGCCGTAGGAGGAGGCCGGCCGGCAAGCAGCGCTGGCCTGCGCAGTCCCGAGGCTGGCTACGGCTCGGTGGGAGGCGGGTCATGGCCTGCTCGCCACGTGCGCCGGTGGCCTGGCGACCACAACCGCGGCAACGGAGAGCAGCCGAGGAGAGGTGCGCCGGGTGCGGGACGAAGAGGGCTCTGCCACCGCATCCCGCCCGTGCGGCCACCGTGTCTCGCCCGCTCGGCCACAGCGTGGCGCCTCCTCCACCTTCCTGGAGGCGACGAGCTCAGGCTGGGCCTAGAGATGACGCGGGCCGAGCAGACCCAGGCGCGGGAGCAGGCGGAGCTCGTCGAGCTGCGCCTCGAGGAGTCGCGGCGCGCCACCAGCGAGAGGGCCACGGCGAAGGCGAAGGTGGAACTCGATGACGTCAGGGAACGCCGCGCGGCCGCGCTCGCGGACCTGCGGGAGGCGCGAACGGAGGCCGAGTCGCTGGAGAAGGCGCGCGCGCTCCGCGGCCGAGGCGGGCGCGGGCGCGGGAGTCACTGGAGAAGGAGCTGACCGACGCCAGAGCGCCACCGACGTCGGCCGGCTTGGCGTGATCATCGAGCAGCAACTTGGCGGCGGCGGCCCCTGTCCTCGCCAGAGCTCCAAGCTGCCATGGCCGAGCCGCTCACGCGAGCTGAGGGAGAAGAAAGAGGCGCAGATGCGCGGCTAAGGGAGAAGAGAAAGGCGCAGCGGCCGCGGTGCGGGAGCTGATCGACGGCAGAGCGCCGCCGGCGCCGAGCGGCTTGGCGTGGTCGTCGAGCAGCAACGGCGGCGGCAGCCCCTATCCTCACTGGAGCTCCAAGCCGCCATGGCCGAGCCGCTCGTCGTCACCACCTCGATCTCCCTCCTCTATCGCTCGCCGCTCGGCGCCGGCCATGGTGAGCTTGGTCTGGCGCAGGGAGGCGACTGTCGCCGTAGCCTGCTCGTGCGTCGCCGCCGCAGCCTGCTGGCGTGCCATCGTCGTAGCCAGCTCGCCGCCGTTGTCTCCTTCACGCACGCTGGAACGGAAGGAAAGAGAGGACCAGCGTGGCATGGTCAAACCCGCTCCACGTTGGACAAAACAGCCTTGCCCGCGTCCAGGTGCTAAAAGTGAACGGTTTTCATAGTTGAGGTAACAGAATTAGACGGTTTTGTAGTTAAGGGTCAAAATTAGACGAACCCAATAATTGAGAGGCCAAAAGTAGACTTAATCCTTATATTTAATAAGCTATTATATAAAGTTTTTGATGATGTGATAAATTTATAAAGAAAAGAGAGAAGAAGTGAGTTTTATGGGAGCAAAACTCTATTGACTCGGTTACCAACTCAAGATGAGTCATAAAATTAAATGTCTATGAAACAAAAGAATGAAAATATGCATTGAGACTTTGAGAGTGATGGTTTCATCCATGTTTCATTGCATTCTATGTTTTTGAAACAATGCTATGAAACTTTCCACCCAGTCAAAACCTTTTAAGTTTGATCAAATATATACACTAAAATACTAATACATATTTATGAGGTGTAATAAGTATTGTTACAGTAATGGTGCAATATACTTTAATAATAAGCTTGTTTTAAGATAAAAATATTGATACTATTTTTTACTCCATCCATCCAAGTTTTAAAGGTTACGAAATTTTTTTTACCAAGGCCAAGAAATCTTAACAACTCTTGATCTCATTTACTCTGACCGCCCAAAAAAACGTTTTCTTTCTCCGGAGACTTTTTTTTGAGGTAATCTCCGCAGGATTGTTGTGCATGCACCTTCACGTATTTGGTTGTAAGTTTTAATTTTTATATAAATTTAGTCAAGTTTAAAAATAGTTTTACTTAGGACAAACTCAAATACTTGTATTACAAGAAAGAGGATCTATCTGATAATGGACTTTTTTTTTAGTCCCAACATCTTGGTCGTTTTTTCCCCGGCATGAGCCTCAACTTCGGTACCATTGTACCAACTACCAAGCACAAACCCATATGGCCATATGCCCCATTTCGATGTAGTGTCATCTCTGTCGGATATTGTTCGAATACACTCATATATACCTCAATTAACATTGTTTACGATGGGAAAAATTAACTAATTTTCAACGCAATCCACTTCAATATACATAAATTAATGTGAATACGAATGCATCCCATCAAACTCTTGCTGTGTTTCCAGCACACTAGAACGTGTTGCGCACCATTACCGGCCTATCCAGCCTACTTTGCTCACACCATGGGCACTAGCTACAGGGACACGAGAATATTAATTGGCCACGCCATGGCTCGTGACTAACAGGCATAGACGGATTGATCCACCGATTTGACTATCTAAGCATGATCGTACCACCACTATGGCCGATCCTCGTAACACTGAATTAGATTAGTAACTGATTGCCTCAACACCTCTACGTTAGAGTTGAGTTTTCTCAATTGTGCCAGCAACTTGGCGCTACAATTCCACATCAGAATAACTTGGATATTATTTGACGGTTTAAACAGACATGTAGATCACCATACCAGAATAGCCACAATATTGATAACATCCAAACACTAAACGACGTAGTGTAACCATCTTACTAGGCGTCAATGAAGCTGGTCACGGGTAACTAGCAACCGAAGTATTCCTCGGGAACATGGAACTTGAGACCGATGGCCTATAACAGGAAAAAACAGATGTCAGCTGATGAAAGGCTTCTGCCTTTCCCAAACATGAGAAAGGGAAAGCATAACAAACTACGAATAAGACTGACTGAAACTATGCCGGGAGTAGCACAGCATCCACGTAATGTTAACTTCCAATAGATAGAAAAGGTTTAAACCCTGCTCTGCAAGTTACAAACGGTATCAGATTCGTATTAACTACCTTGGCTGCTTTACATAATCCTTGTGAACCAGGTTGTTATATTTTCTCTGAATTACAAGTAAAGTGCAAGAGGCCTTCCAATTTGTTTGAATCCAATGGAGGAAAATCCTTGCTGATTGCTACAGGTAAACAGGATTTTTCATACCTTAGCAAATTTTATATCTGCATCACTGTGATCCTTATCTCTCCCAGCAGCATCACCAACATAGAAAGATCTGTAATAATAGGGCACATGTCAGAAGAGGAGCTTCTGGATAACTTTGCATCATATAGAAAAATAAGGGGGTTGTTTTACTGTGTTCCCAAGTTGGACCAAAAGCTTAATCCACAAGGCCAAGGTGGGGATTGCTAGTCACCTATTATTCAATTAAATAGAAAATAACGTCTGTCCTATTTAGGCTTGATCAAGCCTAACCTATAAATGAGTGGATGGTAAATTGGTCTGGGCTCTAATACTGTAATACATGTTCCCATGTGGCAACCAGCCAACCACCTAGGAGATGTGGTCAACACTGGGTATCCTAAAACTACAACATAATAACATTGCCCACATATAAATCATATATTATAAACATATTGTGCTACTTACATGCATGTTAGCAAGTAAAGCATGTATTATTGTATTGTGACGTCGACTAGAGAACTACAGGGTCATAGCAGCAAAGCAGCAGTCCTCATCAAAAGCATTGCAAATCTATGATTGCAGTTATTTCAAGCTCAAACCTATCGCAACATCTGAAAAACCCCCACAGGTTCCTAGCCCTATCATCTAACACTGCTTTATTTTCAATATATAGGGCAAAAATCCAAAGAAATTACTAAGGCTTGACACAAGCGTCATCATGAACCATTCCTTGTGATTGGAATTAGGTAGACCCTCCAAGGCGAGGCACATCAATGCCTGTGAAAGTGCAATCAAGTCTTAATTGTGGGTTTTGGTGATAATGACAACGCAATTAGAAAACTAATGAGATTTATCGAGATGACAAGCAAGGAACTTATATTCGAGGATGCTACACGGAACGGAGGAGTCCCCAATTACAAATGTAGATGGCTCCAAACTCAAAGGAGGTTTAAATTCTTTTATATATTGAATTTAGGAAAAGCCGTACTATAAAGGGGGGGCACAATGCTTAAGCTAATATGTGCTACCAAGTGCTTAAACAACCACAAACATCCTCAGATTCACACCCAAGACAGTCTACACTTCACTATTACCCTTACTGTCTTGCATGGTGCGGCACTGCCGTACTTGAAGAGAGGTTCACCCGACCCCTTGGTCGCGGACTCCGGTTCGCCCGACCCCTCGGTCGCGGGCTCCGGCTTGCCCGACCCCTCGGTCGCGGGCTCCGGTTCGCCCGACCCTTTGGTCGCGTCCTCGTCTCGTCTGACCTCTTGGGTGCAGTGTCCATTGAGGGCTGAGGGAATATATACTTTTCCCTTTCCCTCCCAATGACTATCTGCGATTTTAGTGACCGTTGGGGGCCAGGGGTATATATACCTTTCCCCTTCCTTCCCAACGGTAACTAACCGGCTCTCTTCTTCCTCACTTCAGCATGCCCAAAACAAAGCAGGAACTCTCTCTCTCTCTCACTCCATTGTTGACCTCAAGCCCTCAAGCAAATCCATTTATTTCCCCATCAATCCTTGAGGAAAAAGGGTCCCAAACTCGATTAGAGAGTAGCTCCATTGATTCCCAAATTCTAAAGAGCACATGGTTCACGTTTTGACCGACGGTTGTGTTTGTTACTCTTGGAGCTTGGCTCCTAGCCGGCTAATGCGTCGCCCGTGGAGCTTGCCAACTTGTGTGGCAGCCCGGGAGGTTTGTAACCATCTCTTGAAGCTAGTAAACTCACCCCTCATCTCAAAAGTTAAGTCTCTTGACTTGAGAACGAGGAAGGGCTAGAAAGCTCTAAGCCTTAGTGGCTAACCTCGACAACGTGAAGGTAGACAAGCCTTGGTGGCGAGCCGAACCACGGGATAAATCATTATGTCAATTGTGCTTGATTTACATTACTTGCATGACATATTGTTGATTGAGGTGATTTCTATAGTTTGAGGCTGATCTACTTGTGTGTGGTGTTCCCACCACTTTCAGCTGTCGATCTGTGATCTACTACCCTGCAGGAAGCTACGAAATATACCCGATCTAAATTTCGTTGGGAAGATTTTGAACTATGAACTAATCTCTCCTACAGGTGCGGCAGGCAGTGCCACACTCACAAAGCGGCAGTGCCGTGGGTGAATTTGACTTCAGTTTGAGTTGAATTTTTACAGCCCTATTCAACCCCCCCCCCCTAGGCGTACCAGAGATCCTACAGCCTGCTACTTGCAAGCATATGTGCTGCAGTCTGCAGACACATTCAAACCATGCCAAAATAACATACTTAATAAGTTTAAGAAACGAAACATGTATATTTTTTTTAATGTGCACACCATTGCAATCCACTAACATGACAGCCCTTATCCTGCATGGAAATTACTTGCATATCAACAAACAGAAACAGGGGTAAGGTTGTGCGACAGGTGAGTGGTTCCAGGTTTCCAGCCGATTAAATATTGACCGCGAATTAAAGTGTATATTTGTGTAATTTCATTCAAAGAGAGGTGCAGGTTTTTTTTTCAAACTGTTAGTCCAAGAGTGATTTTATGACTCTGCCAAAGGGCGTGGTTCTTAAAATCTGAAAAATTATTTGAGAATAGGTGATTACCGATCCATGTCAATCTCGATTCCAGAATTGAAATGCTGAGCCATCAACCACCACATTCCAGGATTTGGTTTGCGGTATGGATCATCTGGAATATCTTTTCCTTTCCCTAAACCACAAGCAATGAAAACCTGCAGGTGCAAATCAAATTAATCAATTATAGAACTACCTTTTGTTCTCGAACACGCAGAGTCTTGTTCGTTTGATCCCCAAACCAAAGGGATTGGAAGGGAATGGAGGGGACTGCCCCCTCAAATCCCCTTGGTTTAGGGATGAACTTCAAGGCCTAAAAGGGCATGACCCAACCTGAAAAGGCAAACTTAAATCCTATTTGAGCTAACTCAGACTATGGGGACTGTGAGTCCTGGAGCAGAGTCTTCCTTTTGGGTGGTGGAGGTAGGGACCAACAAAATCAAAATAAAGAGCATAACAAGAACCCCCAGATGATAATGAACATCAGTGCTTTTTGGTTCAAATAAGCTAAACCAGATACCTCAGCGACTCAAGTATCAGTGCTATGCCCACTCTTGTAGTGACATTCTAATAAAATGTACTTGACCTATGTTTTTCCACAAACTGGAATGCTGTATCCACTGGTAAAGAATTGAATACTCGGAACTTCATGTTGAAATATCATAGATATTTTACATCTCCAGAGCACAAGTTTCATGATTCTGAGTATAGTATCACAGGAAAAAACAGATATTCCAGGTCCTATGTTTGTGTATCTTAAAAAATAGCAGACTAAAGTTACATTTGGCATTAAGGTGAGCTGCAATGATCTTGTTTGCCGGAACTGCTTTTCATAATCTTAGTTGACTAAGTTATTTTGGTTAATTTAGATTGCAAAAGTAGATACAATTGACTAAGTTATTTTGGTTAATTTAGAATGCAAAAATAGATACAATGGGATTCACCAAGTGTGACAGAGACAACAGTGGTATAACGGAGTTTAAAACTTAATTTGGTTTCCTAAACAAGGTATATTTTTTTTTTACAACTGCTTTTCCATGGCACCTTTAAAAAATAGTTAGTACTGCACAGCACAACAGCCACAAACTGACTGTAAATAAGATCAAGTGATTTAAGTTATAGGGCAATGCCCATTTCAGTTATCAGGAACCAAAATAACAGATATATTTCTTTATTCCTTTTTTATTTGAATGGCTGCTCAGATTTCAGATAAAGAAAACAAGTTTACAGCATACCTGAACAGGGGCTTTAACACATTCAATAAAGTTATCAAGGCGACCAACTTTGGAGTCAACAGCTTGCTGCCGCTTGTTCTTATGGCGCTCAATGTTTGACTCATTGGTGAATATGACCTAAAAACAACATACAGTATAAGCCGCTGAAATCAAAGCACTACATAATTAATAACATTAATTAAGATATATATGTCAGAACATAAAAACACAAATTTACAAAAGTAAAACGAGAAGTGAAGGATTTAAAAGAACTGGTGAAAAGAAACCTACTAACCAGCTTGTAACCATCATTGTACAGTCTTTGCAATTTTTCTAGAATTGATTTATGCTGTAAAGACCACTGGTCTGCACCAACCCTGCACAAGCAGTAGGTTGAAAAATATCAACCAAGTTCTTATTATAGCAACAGCGGTCAGAAAGTATTCTGAATCAGAAACTTCACATGTAAGAAATCATCAACTCGGGAGAACATCGCAACAATAAGCCATAAGAGGGCTCTTAATCGTTATGATAGAGGTCATCGAAAAGTGAAGCATAATACATTTCATGGCTAAACTCTAGGTTGGTCTGGTGTCAATATTATCCATAGAGATGCTTATAGACAGTTGACGCCTTTGCTTGTAAAGATATCTGGCTTATTAGTTAAGGACACCAAAGGAAAAGGTTGACAAATGAAGGGACCTTGAAATGAGAAATTGACAACACACTGATAGCACAGAGGTATGCCCAGTTGTGACGCCACCAACCAGGGTTCAAACCCTGTAGTCTCACAAAAAAGGGCCTCGTCGTGCAATGCCACGTTCCTGGGCGGTCCAGCCTTCAGTCCCTTTTCTTGGCCCAGTGTTGAGATCCTCTTCTTAAAGCAATGCCTCATGGGAGGCCTTTCCCCTAGGGGTCCGGTTTTTAAGAGAAGTTGAAATCTAAGAGACCAATGCTCTTCAAAATTACTATGTGGATGTCTACAGGTTTCCCAAGGAATACTCAGAAGTGAAAATCATATGCCATGAATGCTTTGCAATGTCTGACGATCCCTCTTTATCCAACTGCAAGAACTTCAGACTAACCTTAATTACACAACTCAATAATTCAAAGCCTTGGGCTGAAGAAAGAATGAGTGGTCAGACAAAGAAAGGACTTAATTCCATCGTTATTCTGAGAGCCTGGACGGTTTTAAAGTACTGCAATCATTGTGTCTTTGATGGTGCCTCTCCTAATCCAGTTGGGGCCTTAGAGGCTGCTACAGAGGAGCTATTGGATTGGGGTGTGGCTGGGGCCAAGGGCATTCCCTTTCTCCGTGCCCTTGCACCAAATGGTAAATAGGGCCACCACCTTTCCATAGGTCGAGGTCGTTTATTCTCGTTTATTGTTCTTACCCCCTTCTTTTCTTCTTAATGTTATGATCTTGTTCGAGAAATAAATCAGTAATTTAAAGCCTTTATTTACTAAATCAATTCAAATGTGTCTCCATAATAAACGACCGAATAGGGGAAATAATATTCGCAGTGGAAGCATCTAGAATACCATTTAGAGTGAAACCAGCTTGTATATCTTATGAAACACAATACCTCCTCACACTGGTCTTGGCAAGGCATCCATCAAAATCAAATGCAGCAATCTTAGATGAAGCATGAGGGCCATCTTCCTGAGCGACAATTGGAAGAAAGTTTTTTTAATAAAAAATTAAGACCTTACAACCAGAAACAGTATGACATAGGTATCAACACACCTGCTCACGGAAGATAACTGTATCAAAAACCTTCCAATGAGCAGGAAGGGTAGCATCCTACATCAACAGACAGAAAGAAGGTGAATATGTAGCAATTCGATAGCATGCTTGCACAAAAAAAGGCATGGCAAGATATAGGGAGCATAATTCTTAGCAGCAGTTAAGACAAGGCTACCTTGTATTCTTTCTTGATATCAGAAAGTGAAAAGGATATCGATGGACCAATCGGTCTGTTCCCTGCAGGTAACTTCTAGGAGAAAAAAGAAGAATAATCAGATGTTGAGCTTTGCGGCATTTTTTTTTTTTTTTTGAAGGAAATATGCCAGTCATTTACCGATTCACACTAGAAGGAAAGTATTTACAGCCTGGCTGAGTGCCAGACTTGAAGGAAACTACTCTAATGACTGACAACATACAGGAAAACCACAGAACTAAGAGTTTTCAAAATTGAATAAATAAATCTAAATGCTATGATAGACAAGCAAAGGGATTCGAAAACAGAGTTGGCGAGTTGCCATCAAATTTTGTGTGTTTGCATTCTCCATAGTTATCATCAAAGGTAGATAGAGTCCAAAACCGAAAGCATCATAAGATCAGATATTCAGATCACACATCACCTTTGCTTCTTCCAGATTCTTTTCAGCACCTTCTTCAGACTCCCCCATGCAGTGAACCTAGATGAAATCAAGTAATGAAGAGTGACAGACATATTACTCATACAACATTATTAATTCACTGACTTTTTACTACTTCTGTCCTCCTGTAGCACATATTGCTGCAGATTGATTCGATTGTAAGCATGACCTTTCGACATCTATATTGTTAAATCTTTCGTGAATGCCTTCTCTATGGATACTATCAAATGCTTAGCAGCAGTTCTAGTACAAGTGATCACCTTTACTCCTTCCAGATCCTTGTCAGCACCTTCTTTTGAGTCCTCCATGCTGTGAGCCTAAAAGAAGTTAAGCAATGCAGGAAAGATACATCAAAAGGTGTTTTAGGGAGCTAGAGTCAACTCCAAAATGCTCATATTGAAGTCTAACCATTTCTTTCTTCATATTTGACTCATTCAATTCATCAGCCACATTTCCATCACTCTTGTAATTCTGCAAACAAATGTGGTGAATCTAACAAAGAAATCAAACATAAAATACCACAATTCACTCGAGGTCTGAGCCTTTTATTTTGCAAGGCGAATGTTATTTTCTAGCCCTTGCATGTAGAGCGGCCAGACTTCGCATACTCAACAGAGACGGTTACCTTATCTGGCACCCCCTCCGCAGGGGAAGACGTCTGAATCCTTGCTTTCTTTGGACTTGGTTCCTCTCTGCAGTATTGTCTCTTTGACGATTCTGAAAATGAGTTGTTCTCATTATCACGGGAATCGGTAAAGATTTGCCCCCAAAAAAAATGAATCACTTATGTTGTTTTGCTAAATATGGGATCAGGACAAAATAAAACACTAATCATCCAAGTGCTGCTGTTCAAACAAGAGAATCAGTGTGGTTCATTCTATTTGATTTATGCACACGCTTATCTGACTATAAGCACATCATTCTACAAGCAGGGGTGCCATAGAGTGGGAAAATGATAGGAATGAATTGTACATATGGTGTTTTTTTACTCGGCAATATTAACCACAATTTTTTTCAAACTATTCTACATTACCCAAATCTGCAGCAAAAAGCTACGTGGCTAAACAACCACTGCAACGAGTAAAGGCCGCATTACCTTCTCTAGCTCTCGCAATTCCTCACGATCATGGTCCTGCAATCCCAAAGCCCCACGTATTAATCCCCAAAACAACACAGAATGAGATAACGAACGGCACGAAACTAACCACCCAACGAGCGAACCTTAATGGAGTCGAACCCCTTGATACTCTCGATGGGGCCGAGCGGGTGCGACGAGGAGGCCAAGCAGGAGACGTGGTACCACTTGGTGGCGTCGAAGCCACGGGGGTCGCGCGCAGAGGCGCCGAGGCGGAGCGCCCCGGAGGCGATGGCCTCGCTGCACCCCTTGCAGGTTGAGCGGCCGGACTTGGCATACTCGACAGATATGGTAGCCGCCGCCGGCGGCGGCGTGGTCGACATGGCGAGACGGGTGACGCGAGCAGCAGAGAGGGGGAGGAGAAGGCGGAGGCGGATGGGGTTTCGCGCAATGCGGAGGTAGGAGAAGGGGACAACGAGCATACGAGGTGGGGAGCACGGGGGATATGATGGCGGGTGAGGGTGCGGCGATGGCTAGGGTTTTGTGCGGTGGATGCGGGCGGCCGGCCGGCGCGGGAATCGATACCGTGGTGCGGTGAACTGGTGGTGGCCTGTGGGAGTGGAGCGATCGATTCCGTCAATCCAGCGGGAAGAAAGAGGGGTTGAGCAGCGCGAGTCGTGTCGCGCGGTCTCGCAGGGTTGGCCAGTGGCCGAGCCAGAGGAGATAATTGGAATTTTGCCATCACAAAACGTAGGTTTCGCTCGTTTGTCATCCCATAAAAGAGATTCGCTCGTTTGCTATTATAAAACTGGGCACACTCGCTGGAATGCTCTTTGAGTATTTGTTTTGCCAAATTTAATTTTTTTTTTCACGGCCTCTTTTCTTTCCCGTTTTGCCCCTGCGTTCTCTCGCTCCCGTCGCCTCCCCTTGCTCTCTCCCTCTCCCTCTCTCTCCCGAGGTGGCGCAGCGCGGGCGGCCCCCCTCCCCTCTCCCTCTCCATCCGTCTCGATCTACCACCGGGCCGTGGCGCGGCCGGCGCAGGGCAGGGCAGAGGCATGGCCTTGCAGGCCCGTCGTCCTCATCTTTCCCCCTCTCCCTCTCTCCTGATGTGGCCGCTCATGGTGCTCGTGCCCGGTGCCGGTGGGTCTCGGCGGTGCCGCGGTTGGCACAGAGCAGTCTCAAGTGCTCCCGTTTCCTTTTGTATTTTGGGATTTTGCTTTTGCCTCTCTGATTCGTCCCTTCGATGACTTCGATTCGTGTTCTAGGGTTTGACATAGAATGCCTATTGTTCCAATGTTTGTCTTCTCTGTGTTTATCTGTGAAAGGACGGCACCAATTGGCAATGACACTACTTATCTCAAAGATGAAAAAGTCTCCATTGATGAGATCAAATTAACACCTGTGTGTGGGATTCAAGGGATTATGTCTGTGATTTTATTTTTTCAGATTTTTTTCTCAGATTTTTCCTCTCCCGTTCTTGCTTCGATTCTTCATTTTGAGACCGATTTAGTTCGTTCTTTTTTACTCAGATTCGTGCTATGACATGAGTTGATGCTACCCCTTAAGTGAATTTGATTGAATCCAGTCGAGCACGAAGAAATTGAACGAATTTCATTTTTTTGGAGTTTTTCGTGTTCTTAGCCGTGATCTAATTTTCCCGGAGTTTGGGTTGAAATTGGGCGATGATCTCTTAGGGTATGCTCACCAACTCCCTTGTGATGGCCTGTGAAAAGTTTGGTCATGATTTGTTTTGATTTGGTCCAGTTTTTCAGCGATTTTGTGGCCGCCGGTTTTCTGTTCTAGATTTCTCGGAGTTTGGGTTAATACCAAGAGATGATTTGTTGGGGATGAGTTCGTAGGTAGTTGAATTTCTCGCAAAATTTGGGAGCGAATTATAGAGTTTTGAGTCGGATTTCGTCGATTTTGTTGTCGCCCTTTTTCTGTTCTTGAAGGCATCGGTCTCCTGTTCTTCTGCTTGCACACAGGGTCGGACAACAGGGCCAGCGCAGTGCGCCGCTCGTCCTTGGCTAGCAGCCCCGATCACTCATGTGCAGTAGGCAGGCAGCACCTGTTGTTCTTTGTTTCTTCCTGCTTGTTCATCGTGGGAGGCCGAGCAACAGGAGCTGCATGCTCCCAGCGCTAGAGCAGCGCTCGGTCCAGGTGGGCAAAACGGGAAAGAAAAGAGGCCACGAAAAAAAAAATTAAATTTGGCAAAATAATACTCAAAGGGCATTCCAGCGAGTCTATCCAGTTTCATAATGGCAAACGAGCGAATCCCTTTTGCGGGATGGCAAACAAGCGAAGCCCACATTTTGTAATGGCAAAATTCCAATTATCTCGACTAGGAGGTACTCTGGTTCTGGGAGTCTACGGCTGCTGGCGCGAATCTGGAGCCGCGGCGCAGGCTTGCATCGGACGGCCACGGTGGAGAAAATTGGAATTTGCGGTGGGAAGTGGACTTCACTAGTTTGGCATCCGATTTCGCTGTATCGCCGTTATAAAACATGTACAAGCCGCCAGAATGTCACTGGGTGACATCGGATCTTTGAAAAAAGGAAAAACGAAAATTTCTTCCACATTTGCCCTTGCCCTTTCCTTCTTTCGCGTGAGGAGACGGATGGACGGAACGGTGTTGCTGTCGTGTGGCGGTGTTGCGGCCTCTCCCACGGCGAAGGCACCTGCGCTCGAGCTTGCCTCGCGAAGGAATGAAGGCGTCGCCCTACGCTGTGCGGAGGAGATTCTGAAGGACGAGGCGGCGGGGGTGGGGGCACGGCCACGCTCGTCGAGGAGGCCCGGGCGTGGACGCGGGACCCAACCTTCGCCGCGTCTCCTACCTCTGCATCCTCCAGGAGGTGAATGAGAAGGCCAGGAAGCAGGTGGACGAGCGCGCGGGAGGAGATCGCCAGGGAGTTCGGCCATCATAACCAAATGCTAATTTCTAAACCCTTCGTCTGTAAACTTATCTCCACCAGCAAATTTTTGAACACATAGCCCATTTTCTATAATGGCAGAGTTCTAACTTTCTCGCCACGGCGTGCGTGCGCGGCTAAACATATTTTCTATAATGACCAGCACGTGAGCGGGCGCATGGCAGTCGCCAGTCGGCACGGCTGGCCAGTGGCCAGGCAAGAGGCACACCTCATTTGGGATCCACTAAGTACTAATTATTTTTTGAAACGTACTACTTTCAAAGAAAATTTGAAACATATTTTGTACTAGTTATTGAGTGCCTCGTTATCACTTCAATTTTGATCATATGCGTATACTAGGTAGCGTGTTCGTGCGTTGTTACGGGACAACTAAATTTTTTGTACTAAAAATACACGGATCGCACGATAAGATAACAATACTGTTAAATTAAATCCCGACGTCAAAGTGATATTTAATTCAAAAAGCAAAGTTCGTGAAATTAACACAGTCACGGAGAGCGCGACGTCGCAGGCTCACAAACTCTACTGTATAGACTTTTTCGTGATACGGCTAAGATAATATTTTATATCGGCAAAAATAATTCTACGATATCAATTTCTTTCGTGCGCCAATAAATCCATGAATAAGTTCCGTTGCATCTCCATATAATCATGTACACACAGGTTCGAGTATATATGCAAATAGGTTCGTGCCCGTGCGTTGCTATGGGACAGCTAAACTTTTGTACTAAAAACACACGGATCGCACGATAAAATAACAATACTGTAAAAGTATATGACCGACGTTAAAATGACATTTAATCCAGAAAGCTAAGTTCGCGAAATTTAACAGAGAGCGTGGCGTCGCAGGCTCACAAACTTTACCGTGTAGATCTTTCCGTGATGCGGCTAAGATCATTTTTTATACCGGCAGGAAGAGATTTCCGATATCCATTTCTTTCATGCGCCAACAAATCTACGAATAAGTTTCACCATATTTCCATACCATCCTGTACACGGCGCTGGCAAACGAATTAGCCATAACTTATGTAATTAGTTTTATAATTAGCTCATGTTTAGTCCTCCTAATTGATATGTAAAAATTCAATGTGACAAGGACTAAAGTTTGGTCCGGGGATCCAAACACCCCCTAACTCTTGACTCCTGCTGGCTGCTCACTTGCACCACCATGCCTACGTGCTTGCACGTATATACTCTAATGCCAGAACGTCTAAGATGATCTTTATTGTCCACCATTTGAAAATATCATAGTTTAAGGTTGTCATTTGTGTATGCTGTAAGATTAGGATGCTTTGCACTGATCCATGAGGGTGTTCATGAGAGTCGAAATTTTTTATGTCATTATAATGTCTAAGTTTACCAATCAGACAGAGACGAACTTGATTGTTAAAATATTTTCAACAATGCTTTCATATATTTCCTCCGTCCTAAAATAGAATTCATTCTCGCTTCCCGAGAAGTCAACTTTTTTTTAATTTCAACCAATTATATATAAAAGAATATTAATATTTATAATACATAATTAATATCATTACATAGACCATTGAATATATTTTCATAATAAACTTATTTGGAGATATAAATGTTGTACGTATTTTTTACAAACCTAGTCAAAATTGAGAAAGTTTGACCTGCACGTATCCCATAACGACTTATATTTTAGGGCAGAGAAAGTATATGCTAATGGGAGTAGTTAATTGGAAATCGTGATGAACACAACAATACTTTCATATTATATGCTAATGGGAGTACGAAGAAACGTAGAGGAATAGACCTATATATCAATGGTATGAATATTCGTTTAGGAAATTGCAGAAGGTTCACCAGTCTCACCATGTATAACCTGCATATCTTTTATTTGGCACCACTGATGTTTTCAAGGAGCAGCCACTTTTTAATTTCAGGTCTGTATGCTGAAAACACTAAAATTAAGGGCCAACCTCATTGAGTCGTCTTGCTTGATCTTTGCCAATTGTCTTGCTTGAGCTTTGAGAACAAATTATATCATTGACAAAGACTAACACATAAAGAGATAGAAATTGCAAGAATAAAGCTAGGTGGTCTACTATGCACCCAGCTTAAATTTAATACCCTCCAAATTATGGACAATACCATATGATCCGGTTTATGTGGAGATGAAAGATATCTGACCGAGCGAGAGAGGGGCACCGTATGATTGTTTCCTTCCATGCATGATTATTGTTTCCTTCAATGCATGTGGCCTCAGGTGATCGATTTGTTTCCTTCAAAGCAGGCGGGGATCGCAGGGATGACAGTTTCTTTTTCTATCGCGCGGTGCATGATTATTGTTTCTTTCCATGCATGTGGCCTTAGGCGATCGATTTGTTTCCTTCAAAGCAGGCGGGGATCGCAGGCGTGGACAGACGGACGAACCAAAATAAATGTCGCACCAAAAAATATTCATACTTTGTTCTTTTTAGTTATAGGAGATT